AGAAGCTGACAGAAACAGACTTGTACTGTTACTGAGAACAATGATATTTATGGATATTCATTTTTTATATATATTTATACATATATACCACTGTAGATATATGTGTATATATGTATGTACACATACATATATATGCATATATACATACATATATGCGTATATACATATATACATACATATATACATACATATATTTATATATATATATATATATATATATATATATATAAACCCACATGGTGACCCACACTGCAAAGAGCTGCCGCCTCAGTAACATTAGTGAGGGATGCTGTGATTCTTAGCCTTTAACTTAAGAATAGAAAATGGTTTCGGCAATCCTGATGCAAACCTGCCCTGGAGGCAGCCCTGCTGGTCTTGGGAGAACATATGAATAGAAGTCCATGGGGAATTGCAGCTACCCCCTACATCTTTTTTTTTAAGATCAATAAATATTTTCCAGAAAATATTACAGCCTGAATTATTATATTGTGTTCTGTAGAAAAGAATTAATCATCACTTTTGCAAAACAAATGAAAAGAAATTCAAAGATAACAGCTAAAAGACGACAGCATCAGTGAGAACACTACTATAAGTACGACTGACACCAGGTCAGCACTACAGTATAAAAGCTTTATTTCTTATTGTCCTTGTTTATTCAAAGTCATTATAGCATGATGGCTTTTAAACTGTACAACTAAATGTTTTGTGTCAGAACTACATATAAGGCAAGACATAGAGTACATAAAACTAAATCATTGTTTAAGTCCTGGTTTGCTGAAAACACGTTTAAATTTTAACTAAATAAAAGAAATGCACAAAAAGAGCTCTGTTGGGAAAGTCGTGATGGCGATGAGGACATCTTGTCGGCTACAAATCTCATCGCATTTCCAAATTATAGCTGGCTGTTGGGCATGATTGTACTCATCTAAACTCCATTAGGCTCCACTTTTGCCGCAGAAGAGCTTTTCTAGAATCATGCAACACAGTTTTATAAAACATAGAAGTAGTGAAATACTGCAAAAGTGTGAAAACAGACGTGAGAAGCGACGAAGGACGAGAAGAGGGAGAGGCTGTCGGCTGTCGTCATCTCACAGTGATCACCAAGAAAGGAAAAGAGTGGTCATTGTCATGGGAGGGAGGAATGAAACCATGACAACCGTTCACACTGTTAGAAAAAATGACCCCCTCCCACCAACACACACACACATGAAAACAGACTGACTAATTGTTCAGAATGAGCGCAGCCTCTCGTCATTCAGCTGCGACCACCAGGCAGGAACCGTGAAGGCTTTGTCTCAACTGCACGCTCAGAAGCTGGGACTTTGAGCTGGACTTACATGTTCAGACCGGTCTCTGTCTTCACACACTGGGTGTTTCATTCAAATACGTGATACGTGTTAATGGGAGGAAGACCACCTCCAGCCCACCTCCTCACTTCTTTTCTCTCCAGCTAAAATTAACCGGTCGATTTGATTAGGAATTAAAATTACACATAGAAAAAACAGTGATTGGTCTTTGGTTCAACAGTGGGGCCACTCAAGTATGAAAGTGAGACATTTATTTTTTGAACATAACAGTTTATGGCTCAAATTACTGTGAAGCATTTTGGAAATTAAATGACATTATTCCACCCTGATTCCTTCAGCGGTTTAATTTGTTGACAGATGACTAAATGTTTTGAATTATTCTTAAACTCTGAGAGTCTGGGGGAAATTAATAATTAACATTGTTCATAACTGACTCCATGACGCTGAGGAACAAAAATGTCATTGTTGCATGTGATACTTAATGCAGTTTAAAAATGCCAGAAATAAATAGAAGAAAGAAGACCTGCCAGTGAATACACATGACTGCAGGGTCTGTTCCTTTTGGGTCTGTTGTATTGTACATGTCCTTTTTGGTGACTTTCACTGATGTGTTGAAAAATACATAAATACACGAGTATCTGTTTGAAGGTCATTTGAACCTGACAGATATTTCCTTCCCTCAAGTTTTCTATGACATACTACTACACAGAAAGAAATGTCTCACTCATATTTAGACGTCAGTCTGACTATAGCACTAGTTATAAAAACAACCATGTGCTTCATGAACACACGCTAACGACAATCCACACCTTATTATAACTTTGACCAGAGACTGAGAAATGAGGTTCAGACCCACAATGACCAGGTTTTCTTTCCCATTAGAATGACTGCTCCATGAAGTAAATCAACAGCAAGTAGTCAACACAAACGAAGAGACACATTCACCCTCTCACACACAGAACATGGCTGTGGCCTCGTCTACCACTGGAGGTGATTACAGGTGCACAATTATCTGCCACCTTGATTCACACGTAGAGAAAGGCGACACCGGTGGGACCAGTGTGCACTACATCTGCCGGACCACAACACCACATCCACGCAAACATTTGTGCACCTGCCGACATGTCAACAGTCATGTTTAAACACAGCCACTCAGTGCAGGTGTTAAGAGAACCTCACAGAGTCCTCACAGCTGTAAGGCTGAGAAATTATCACAATAAATGCTCAGCGAGTCAGGGCGAGACTTTTTGAATTAAACTCTCAGACTCCTGGAATACAGAGCAAACCAACACACTGTAACTGGACATCACTCATGACATGTGCTACTTAGTTGTTCAAAATACA